AATTGTGACTGGCGATGAAAAGTGGATATATTTTGAGAATCCTAAGCGTAAAAGATCATGGGTAAATCCAGGCGAACCATCGACATCGACTGCAACGCCAAATCGCTATGGACGGAAGACAATACTCTGTGTTTGGTGGGATCAGAAAGGTGTGATCTATTATGAGCTTAAACCTGGCGAAACCGTTAATATTGAACGCTACCGACAACAAATGATCAATGTGAATCAAGCTTTGCGGAAAAACGACCGGAATATCAAAAAAGGCAACACAAAGTGATTTTGCTTCATGATAATGCACCATCACACGCAGCAAAACTGGTCAAGGAAACGATTGAGGCGTTTGGTTGGGAGATACTTTCGCATGCGGCTTACTCACCAGACTTGGCTCCGTCCGATTACTACTTATTTGCATCGATGGGACACGCACTTGCTCAGCAGCGCTTCACTTCTTACGAAGATGTACGAAAATGGCTAGATGACTGGTTTGGCTCAAAAGAGCAACAATTTTTTTGGTGTGGCATCCACAAATAGTCAGACAGGTGGGAAAAATGTATATCTAGCGATGGGCAATACTTCGAATAAAATATTTTTTATCATTTTCATGCAATAAACGTGTATTTTCTATATTAAAAAATTCCGGTTTCTTATATTTACATACCTGGTAATTACGTAAATGTTTTTACGCCGGGAAAAGTTGTAAGGAAAAATGCAATATAATAATCAATAGAATATCCTATTTCTGATTTTATATACAATCAGTTTAATTTAATTACGCACATTTTAGCAGAAAAATAAAAAAGATTCTATAGAATTGGTAAAAAAATTACCTTTGTTAATTTCTTAGTTGTCTAACGTTTATATGATAACAAGTTTCTCCATTATTATAATAACACTCTATAATGACTCTCATTCGCAATGGTTTTTTTGAATTTTTTGTTATTATAACAACGTTGCATTTGCATGATTCAGTTTTAATCCATAAAAATTCTTGCCTTTTAATCTTACTCGTACAGCACACTTTATCCTAGAAATGTCAAATGGACGTTATTTTAGGATATGGTAATAATCTTGTGATATCCATGAATGGTCTAAGTTATTCAACTGGATTAGGATATCCAAGGGATATTCGCATGTGTGAGATCTCACGGACGTCTTAGACGACATTCGTGAGATGTCCAAGGAACTCCATGAGATATATCACAAGTATATATGTGTGTATATATATGTGATTGTTATCTAAAATAAAAGGGAAATATTTTAGGATATTATATGTATTATGGAAGCGAGAAATATGTTATTGGATCCCATTATTATACATAATGAAATAAAAGATTAATTTGAGATAATATATGTCACATCCTGTAATTTATATAGTCTTAGGCTGCATTCGGAAACATTATCCGAATGCCTCTGTAGTATAGTGCCTTTGTATAGTGCATCATTTTGTCCTTGTTGTTTACCCAATGTTAAACAAGAATAAGATGATACACAGGGGCACCCGGGTAGTTTTCGAATACAGTCTTAGTATAACATTTAATATAATAAAAATCTTTGTAAGCTTCATTTGATATATATCTTTAATTGATACGCAGTACGTCATTTAGTGTTCAAAATAACTATGACACATTCTTTATTCCTAATCTTTTAGTTCTGACACTCTTCAACTGTAAACCTTTGCTTATTCTGGACATCCATAGGACATTTGAAGAACTGTATTGTGTAGAAGAATTTGTATATAATAAGATATTTTAAGATATTAATAGGATGTTTTGTGATATCTTACGATATTTTACGATATTTTTTTTGGATATCCCGGATGCAATATCTATGGGATTGCTTTGTCATATGGGACAATTTGGAATATCCTCAGGATAAAGCGTGCTGTATGGGTAATAACTTTGTAACTAATTCTTACGGTAATTTGAAGAGAAGAAAAGTACAATAAAGCAGAGCAAATTGCTTACCTGAACACGTTCACATTCTTCTTGTGAATGTCACAGTTCTTGTTTGCTGAATCATGACCGATGACAGGACTACATTTCCCGGAAACGTAGGAGAAGTTACCATCTAGGAGAGATGAGTCCCAGTTCT